AGTCCCTCTGTGTTGGGATCTCTGCTCTGGCCAGGCTGGAGCAAAGAACCACCCGTCCCCATGTCCCACGTGGACAGACCACCACAGAACCCAGCAAAATCTCCTTGTCCCCCATTCCAGATTCCCCCTTCTCGCTGTGCTTGGCAGAACCATCTCCTCCAGAGCAGCTCCTGGTTCTGCTCCGCGTTTGTTTATTCCTTAAGGCAAAAATGATGCAACGGCCCCTCCGTGGGAGGGATGGGGGGCTGGGATGGGCTGCCTGCCTCCAGTCAATCAGCAGCCCTGGAAAATTACAGCAGGAGGACTCAGAGGCTGGAAGAAATCCGTCCTGATTGTCGTGTTCTGCTCGCTGTGTGCATCTGTGCTCCATCCACGGGGACAGGTGACGGCAGCACGGACCCCTTGGATGCTCTTCCCTCTCCATCTTCTTCCTCTCTTCCCTGGGAGCAGCCTCTGGTGCTGTGGATGAACCCTCTGTGAGGAGGTCATGGATGTTGGAGGACTCTTGGGTTTGGTTCAAGCCCCCTGAGGGTTCATCCCTGGAGGACACGGGACCCCTGATGCCCCTGTGCCCTCCTGGCACTTCCAGGATGGAAAAGTGGGAGCATCTGTGAGACACAGACCAAAGCCTGGCATCTCTGTCCTCACCACCATGTCTGTGACTGAGTCTTGGATTTGGTCCAAGCCCCCTGAGGGCTCATCCTTGGAGGACACGGGACCCCTGATGCCTCTGTGCCCCTTGGAACATCCTTGGCACTTCCAGGATGGGGAATTTGGAGCATCTGTGAGACACAGACCAGAGCCTGGCATCTCTTCTTTCCTCACCACCATGTGTGGGACTGACGTTGGGTTTGGTCCAAGCCCCCTGAGGGCTCATCCTTGGAGGACACGGGACCCCTGATGCCTCTGTGCCCCTTGGAACATCCTTGGCACTTCCAGGACGGGGAATTTGGAGTATCTGTGAGACACAGACCAGAGCTGGCATCTCTTCTTTTCATCCTTGGAGGACACAGGACCTCTGCTGCCCCTGTGCCCCTCCTGGCACTTCCAGGACAGGGAATTTGGAGCCTCTGTGAGACAGACACCACAGCCTGGCCTCTCCTCTCTCCTCACCACCATGTGTGGGACTGACTTTGGGTTCTGTCCAAGCCCCCTGAGGGTTCATCCTTGGACGACACAGGACGTCTGCTGCCCCTGTGGCCCTTGGAACATCCTTGGCACTTCCAGGATGGGGAATTGGGAGTATCTCTGAGACACAGACCACAGCTGGCATCTCCTCTCTCCTCACCACCACGTGTGGGACTGGCTCTGTGTGTTTTATCACCACCACAGACCCCAAGCTTTGGAATCTCTCACTTCTTCAGGAGCAGTTCCATGCCCAGCTGATCTCTGGAGGGGCTGCCCGTTCCTCAGTGGCTCTGCCCACCTCCCCTAATTCCTACTTCTAGACACTGTGAGGGTGTCAGGGCAATGCTGTGGGATTGCCAGGGATGCCAGGGCACATCTGTGTGCCCAGGGCATGAGTGGAGCCTCCCTGCTCCTGCCCAGGCTCATTCCCAACCTGTCAGCCCCTTTTATCTCCAGGATTGCCAGGCCAGCTTTCCTCACACCACTTCCAGCAGCCTCTCATCTCCCTTATCTCCCTGGCAAGGGAGAAAAATGACTTTTATTACTCTCATTTTTTACTTTTATTACTCATTTAATCTGTGTTTGAGCCGGGCTGTGAGCGCTGCTCCTGCTCAGGCTCCGGAGCCCGGCGATGTTCGCGTTCTCCTGTTGGAGCTCTTGGAATTCTGTCAGGCACGTGCCAGCTTTTCGTCCCTGGGGATTCCTTCAGGTATTCCCTGGCTTTGCTCAGGTCCCTTTTCCTTTGAAGTATTCCATGGTTTTGCTCAGGTCCCTTTTCCTTTGAAGTATTCCATGGTTTTGCTCAGGTCCCTTTCTTGCTTGTTTTGTGTGAGTGGCTCACACACATTTCTTGCACCGTCAGATTTTTGCTCCACAGAGCTTTCCTGAGGCTTGGACAGAGCCTCCATCCTGTTGGAGATCAAACATGAGGGGCTCTGGGGGAGGAATTTCTTGTGCCTGCTTGGTCCATCCATTGATCTGAGGGTTCAGGATGCCTTGGATCCCTCATCTTGCCCTGCTGGATCTGCTCTTGGCATGGTCCTGGTGAGCTCTGAAGTGACCCAGAGGCACCACCAGGACCTTCAGTGCTTCCATCCCTGTCCATCCCGATGGCACAAGTGTGACCATCCCACCCCTGCTCCTCCAGCTCTTCCCTCATTGTATTTTCCACCCCATCTGCATCACCCTGGGCTGTTGCCAAATCAACTGCAGCAGGAGGAAGAATTGCTTTTTTTTTCTCTCCTTTTTTATTTTTTCCTGAGTGGTTTTTTGAGGTTAAACATTCCTATCTAATTCAGCTCCTTGGGGTGTACCACAAGCTTGTCACATGGAATAAATTGGCTCATTTATTAGCACCAACATGGTGAAAAGCAAACAAAGTGGCTTGTGGATTAATCCTGGCCCTGTTTGGGATAAGTGCTTTGATCCAGGCTCTTTGCAGGGAATAATGGACACGGCAGAGCAGTTCTGACTGATGAATTGGGCTCTTCACTCCAGCCCCTCCATTCTTCTGGTCCATATATTGACGTTGCTTAATTAACCCATAATTTGCAATTACTGTGGGCCTAACCCTCTGCTAAAAAATAAATCTGTGCAGTAAGAGATTCTCCCAGGAATCATCTGCTGGGTGCTCTGGGACTGGGAAACAGGGGAAGGTCAAATCCCTGCTGGCTGTGACAGAGCCTGAACATCCTGAGGATCCCATCACCCCAGTGCCAGGCCAGTGTGCTCACTGGGATCATACTGGGATG